CCCCCCCCACTAATGTGGTTTACCTGATTTGGGGCTTAACCGAAGAGCTTGGTCTCTATGATTAGGCTGCAAATAGGGTGAAACGCTTTGGGCGGGGATTCCCATTGGTGGAGACTAGGCTGAAGCCTTTTTTTAATTAGTTGCAACCGATAGTGTACCTTGACAGTGCGGCTGGACGCCATTTTGTTGTAGCCTATGATTTAGCTTGACGAGCCTGTATGGAGCTCAACAGGCACCTGGAAGCAGTGTGAGGTTTATGGGGAGCAGGTACCAGCAGCAGTATCTTCACAAAGCGCAGCCCTTCTCGCGCATGTGCAGTGGGCACCCGGCTGTGAAGCCGCAAGCTGTCACAGCTGGGCGCCCACACTGAAGATGCCGAGGAGAGAAGAAGGCTGGTGAAGGACACCGATGGATCAAGGGACACTGTCTGTATTTTAAAAGTCAGCAGCTACAGTTTTTGCAGGAGCTCCGCTTCAAGTCATTTCTGTAACCTGCTGGATGCTGGGAGACACCCACTGGTGGACAGTGGAACTACACCCTTCAGATCCAAGGACCACAGAGCCACCATCAGGTGTTCTAGGTCCTACCAGTAAGATTATGAAAGACCTGGAGCACCCTGGGACAGAATCCAGAACCAAGTTCTGAGCAGTGAATGGTGAGCATGGCCATGTGTGCCTTACGGTGGGAGTAGTTTAAATGGGGAGGATTAAACAGAACCTGTATACACTGCTGTAGTCACGTGTATACCGCAGTCCGTGTGCAGATAAAACTCTACCTATTAGTGTGCCACAAGTGACACACAGACACTCGTAAACCTCAGGACAAGGGACCATTACAAAAAAAATGTAAGAAAAGATACAGAGAGGAATAAAGAATAGGAGGGAAAGGGTAGAGGAGAGAGAGCGAGAACAGGGGAGAGGTAGAGAAAAAGGAGAGCAGGAATCAGAGAGTGGAAGAGAAGGGGAGAAAGGAGAGGGGGGAGAAAGGAGAGGGGGGAAAAGAAGGAAGAGTGGAGGTAGGAAGGGAGAAAAGGAGAAAGAGATAAAAGGAGGATAAAAAAGAAGGGAGAAAAGAAAAGAGGGGCAAAAAGAGAAAGGAGAGAGAGGAAGGGAGAGACATAGAGGGCAGGAGGGATATGGAGGAAGAGAAAAACAGGAGAGGAGAGGGAAAGGGGTAGAGAGGGAGTGAGGGGCGAGATGGGTAGAAAAAGAGAGGTGGGTTGAGAGAGGGAGCAAGAAAAAGGAGGGTGGGAGAGAGATTGTGACATGGTAGCGACGTGTCCACGTTTATGAGGACAAGGGCCTCTTTCCCACAACCCTGGCTCAGTGCTTAAGGTGGTCTTTGGGCAGGGGGCCTATCAGAATCTGGAAGGGTGGGAAGGTAATGTCACACTCATCTGTTCCATGCTCCGGTGTCAGGTCTTTCCCTCTGTGTGAAGATGTCGGCTTCCGTCCAACGCCACCACACGCTAACAACTAGACCTCCTGTGTTCTCTTCTCATGTTTTCCTGTGACTCCAGTGGTCCCCAGGATTTCCCTTTTCAGGGACCTGATGACTGCTAAGGGAGAAGACACCCTGAACGCTCTGGCTTTAGCCACCATTTGCCCCTCTGCATCAACCGGTCCCTGGTCTGCCACTCATACTCCAGTGGGATCGGATTCCCAAATAATGACAGTTGGGACAGGTTGTTGGGGCTTTGTGGAGTGGATGAGCTGAGCGGCAGTATATATATATTTTATGTATATGTATTTGTAGATGACAGCAGGGTTTCTAAGGGTGGAGTTCATGAAGTCACGGAGTTGGCAATCACTCCAAGTGTCAAGAGCAGCCTTTCTTAACCTTTTCAAGACAGAGGAACCCTTGAAAGAACTCCTAGCAACCTCTGGAGGAACAATAAGATAAAAAATGGTGCCGCGCCCTTATATTAAACCTGTGTTAGGATTGATTAAAATACTGACTTGATGAGAATGATTAGTTACCTAAATACAGTTGCATAAATTACTTCAATATAAATCAATTATCCAATTCATTAAATTGCACATTACTGGACCATAAACGTAATTAAGAAAAAAAAAAAAAAATATACATATATATATCAATAATTATTTAACTAAATATAAATGTCCAATAAATATGAAAGTCCAATCAAGGGTGAAATCCCATCTTATTGGGACTTACTGAGAGTGCTATAGTATAAATATTCACATAATCCCGGATAGTCTATAAGTAGAACTGCTAGAAAAGCAAAGGGTGGGGTCCTCCCTCCAACAGGTTCTATGTGCTTTCTCCCTATTACTCCACGTTTGTGCCAGGAAAAAGAAAAGAGAGGAATAGTGCCTTATCCTTGGTATAAAATATATTTATTTGTGCCAATTTGCACTTACAAGAATTAAAATTATACAGCGCTTTTAGTAAATGTAATGTGTCCAGCCTGAGCGGCGTGCGGACACACACTGCCTGTACTCGCCGTTCCAAGGAGTCGGGTACGTGGTGGGACATCAGTGCCCCTCCCCAACGCGTTGCGCCACAGGGTCACGTGGCTTTGTCCAGGGGATGCAATCACATCCCCCTGACGAAGCCACGTGACCCTGTGGCGCAACGCGTTGGGGAGGGGCACTGACGTCACCACGTACCGACTCCTTGGAACGGCGAGTACAGGCAGTGTGTGTCCGCACGCCGCTCAGGCTGGACACATTACATTTACTAAAAGCGCTGCATAATTTTAATTCTAAGAGACTTATCTAAGAGACAGAACTTGCACATTACTCAAGGAACCCCTAGCAACTTCTGGGGGAACCTTAGGGTTCCATGGAACCCTGGTTGAGAAAGAATGCTCCTCTCACTTGAAGTCATTGCAAAGAATTACCCCCATATAGATAAAGAGATCAATGGTGTCAATGGGAAGTTATCTCAGAGACAGAACTTGCACATTACTCAAGGAACCCCTAGCAACATCTGGAGGAACCTTAGGGTTCCATGGAACCCTGATTGAGGAAGAATGCTCTTCACACTTGAGGTCATTGCGAAGAATTACCCTCTTACAAATAGAAAAAAAAGATCAGTGGTGTCCGTGTGAACTTGAGGGAGAACGTGATCATTGCTCAAGGAACCCCTAGCAACCTTTGGAGGAACCTTATGGAACCCTAAGGTTTCCTCCTTACAGATAGCTAAAAAGATTGATGGTGTCAGTGGGAACTTATCTCAGAGGCAGAACTTGATCATTGCTCGAAGAACCCTTAGCAACCTCTGGAGGAACCTTAGGGTTCCATGGGACCCTGGTTGAGGAAGAATGCTCCTTACACTTGTGATCATTGTGAAGAATAACCTCTTTACAGATAGCTAAAGAGATGAATGTTGTCAGTGGAACTTTATCAGAGAGGCAGAAATTGCTCATTGCTCGAGAAACTTCTAGCAACCTCTGGAGGAACCCTGGATGAGGAAGAATGCTCCTTACATTTGTGATCATTGGGAAGAATAACCCTCTTACAGATAGCTAAAGAGATCAATGGTGTCAGTGGGAACCTATCTCAGAGACAGAATGTGAACATTACTCAAGGAACGCATAGACATTTCTGGAGGAACCTTAGGGTTCCATGGAACCATGGTTAAGGAAGAATGCTCCTCTCACTTGAGGTCATTGCGAAGAATTACCCCCTTGCAGATAGCTAGAGATCAATGGTGTCAGTGGGAACTTATCTCAGAGACAGAACTTGCACATTACTCAAGGAACCCCTAGCAACTTCTGGAGGAACCTTAGGGTTCCATGGAACCCTGGTTGAGGAAGAATGCTCCTCTCACTTGAGGTCATTGTGAAGAATTACCCTCTTACCGATAGAAAAAAAGGTCAGTGGTGTCCGTGTGAACTTGAGGGAGAACTTGATCATTGCTCAAGGAACCCCTAGCAACCTCTGAAGGAACCTTAGCCATGGGACCCTGGCTGTGGAAGAATGCTCTTCACACTTGTGATCATTGGGAAGAATAACCCCCTTATAGATAGCTAAAGAGATCAATGTTGTAAGTGGAACTTTATCAGAGAGGCAGAAATTGCTCATTGCTTGAGGAACTTCTAGCAACCTCTGGAGGAACTCTGGTTGAGGAAGAATGCTCCTTACACTTTTAGTCATTGGGAAGAATTGCCTCCTTTCAGATAGAAAAAAAAGGTCAGTGGTGTCTGTGTGAACTTGAGGGAGAACTTGATCATTGCTCAAGCAACCCCTAGCAACCTCTGGAGGAACCCATGTCCAGACGGTGTGTTCCCCATCGTTCTCTCGGTTGCAGCACAGAAATCATGGTGGGGCCGTCACTAACATGGTACAGGTGGTAGATGGAAATTACAGTGGTGATGCCAGTGGTACACGAATCTCTGAACCGGTGCAATAATCATTGGAGAATACTACGGACACCCTGAGATTTACGAGGAGGGCAAGTACTAGCTTCTTCAATAGTCACAAAAGAAAAACGCTGGAGATGCAAGTAAAAAAGAAAAACAAACCAAAAAAAAACGATAATGATGCAAATCTGAAGGCACACTTTTATTGTTCAAAAAGGAATAAAATGAACTGGAATATCTTCATGCTAAAAATAAATGGTGTTGAGACAGTCCTACGTAAAAATGAAATGCTACCCCTGAAAATGTCAGATTTACCACTGTCAGGCAGTAGGTGGCAGCCTACAAGCAAATGCAGCTGCTTGTGTAGGCTCAGCTGTACTGAATAGTAACTGGCGCCATGTAGTTTTACCACCCCCTCCCACCACACTCTTCACCCCAAAGTTGTATCTAGCTGCTTGCTCACCATGACTCTTTCCTGTAAAACGTGTGCTAAGTGGCAGGGGAGATAAGACTGCACTGGAAGAAGAACCAATCCCGTAATGACATGCCCCTCCCGCCCCTTTCCTAGCATTTGACGGGGAGTACTCAGCCACGGGTTTGTGTATGTCGCGGTCTGGTTCACCGATTTTCATGCTCAGGACACAATCACCTCCAGGGTTGTGTGGGACCTCTGATGTCGGGAAACGTGAGATTTCTGTGTAAAACATTTCCCGCACTCAGGGCAGGAATACGGTTTCTCCCCGGTGTGAGACCTCTGATGTATATCAAGTTCCGATTTCTGTGGATAACATTTCCCGCACTCAGGGCAGGAATATGGTTTCTCACCCGTGTGCAGTCTCTGATGTCTAGCAAGTTTGGCCTTATCTGAAAAGCTTTTCCCGCACTCGGGGCAGGAAAACGGCTTCTCCCCCGTGTGGGACCTGTGATGCCTTTCTAAGAGCGATTTGTGTGTAAAACATTGCTCGCACTCAGGGCAGGGGAACGGCTTCTCACCCGTGTGATCTTTCTGGTGTTTGGTAAGGTGGCACTTCTGCGAGAAAGATTTTCCGCACTCAGCACAGGAAAACGGTTTCTCCCCAGTGTGAGATTTTTGGTGTCGATCGACGTGGGATTTTCTGACAAAACATTTCCCGCACTGAGGGCAGGAATACGGCTTTTCCCCCGTGTGCTTTCTCTGATGTATTAAAAGATGGGACGCCATAGGAAAGCTTTTCTCGCACTCGCTGCAAGTATGCAACTTCTCCCCTGTGTGAATTTTCCGATGGCTGTTAAGATGGTACTTCTCAGAAAACCGTTTCCCACACTCAGGACAGGAATACGGTTTTTCACCCCTGTGAGTTTTCTGATGAGTGTAGAGATGGGACTTCTCTTTGAAACATTTCCCGCACTCAGGGCAGGAGTGCGGCTTCTCCCCCTTGTGAGATCGTAAATGTGTATTAAGATGGGACTTCTCTTTAAAACATTTCCCGCACTCAGAGCAGGAAAATGGCCTCTCCCCTGTGTGAGATTTTAGATGTGCGACCAGTTCATATTTTACCGGGTAACATTTCCCGCACTCAGGGCAGGAAAACGGCTTCTCTCCCGTGTGGGATCTCTGATGTCTAATAAGTTTTGATGTTTGTGAATAACGTTTCCCGCACTCAGAGCAGGAATACGGCTTTTCCCCTGTGTGAGATCTCTGATGTCTGGCAACTAGCGATCGAGTTGCGAAACATTTCCCGCAGTCAGGGCAAGCATGTGGCTTCTCGCCTGAATGAGATTTTTGATGCTTGCCAACTAGTGTTCTCGAAGCAAAACATTTCCCGCAGTCAGGGCAGGCATGCGGCTTTTCCCCCCGAATTCCGGCACCATCTTTTGTGATGTCCTCATTTTCGGTTTTACAGTCTAGCGATAAAGTGAGACGATCCTTTGAGGGTTTCTTGATGGTTTGTCCTGGAAATATATAAAAATATTATTAACGCGGGATGGGAAGTCGATCGGTTCACCTAAACCAGGGTTTAACCTGGATCAGCTAGAGTCTGGTGAGCGAACGTTCTCTATGGGTGTCTCAACCAGCCAGGGCTCTTCCCCACTTACGTCAAGGGGTAAAAAGGTCTTTGCATCTCCTCCCACATCACTGCTAGGTCAGAAATTGGTAGGAACCAATAGGAATTGAATGTTGTGTGCTGTTTACACAACCATGAGCCTAGGCATTGGGTCCCCTTTAACAAAGAACACGTCCAAGACCTAGGCTTCTGGTTGGACTTCAGAGAAGTTCATGTGGCCCTTTCCGAAACTGAGTGGAACCTACAGAAATTGAGAGTTGTGTGATGTTCATACAAACATGAGCCTAGGCATGGGGTCCCCTTTAACAAAGAACACATCCAAGACCTAGGCTTCTGGTCGGACTTCAGAGAAGTTCATGTGGACTTGTCCAAAATTGATGGGAACCAACAGAAATTGAGTATTGTGTGTTGTTCAGTACAGCAAACCCTCCTCGTTTAGCATGGAACACATTGTCCAAGGCCTAGGCACTGGGTCATATGATTGAGAGTTATGTGCTGTCCACACAACCATGAGCCTGGGCACTGGGTCATATGATTCCTGCTGTAGAGGAGGATCAAAGTTCAGTTAGGCAAACCCTCCTCCTTTAACATGGAACACATTGTCCAAGGCCTAGGCTTCTGGGGGGACTTCAGAGAAGTTCATGGAGCTTTGTCAGAAGTTGATAGGAACCAATAGGAATTGAGAGTTGTGTGCTGTTCACACAACCATGAGCCTAGGCCCTGGGTAATATGATTCCTGCTATAGAGGAGGATCAAATTTCAGTTCGGCAAACCCTCCTCCTTTAACATGGAACATTTTGTCCAAGATCAAGGCATCTGGTGGGACTTCAGAGAAGTTCATGTGGACTTGTCCAAAATTGATAGGAACCAACAGACATGGAGAGTTGTGTGCTGTTCACACAACCATGAGCCTAGGCCCTGGGTCATATGATTCCTGCTGCAGAGGAGGATCAAAGTTCAGTTTGGCAGACCCTCCTCCTTTACCATGGAAAACATTTTCCAAGGCCTAGGCTTCTGGTTGGACTTTGGAGAAGTTCATGGAGCCTTGTCAGACGTTAATAGGAACTAGGCCTAGGTTGCTGGTGGGACTTTGGAGAAGTTCATGGAGCCTTGTCAGACGTTAATAGGAACTAGGCCTAGGTTGCTGGTGGGACTTTGGGAAGTTCATGGAGCCTTGTCAGACCTTGTTGCTGTGGAACTTTAGGGAAGTACATGTAGCCTTGTTGGCAATTGATGGGAACCAATAGAAATTGGGAGCTGTGTGCCATTTTCCAAGACCTAGGCTTCTGTTGGGAGACTTTGAAGAAGTTCATGTAGACTTGTCAGAAATTGTTGGGAACCAACAGAAATTGAGAGCTATGTGCACAACTATGAGCCTAGGCACAGAGGAGGATCCGATTTCAGTTCTGCAAACCCTCCTCCTTTAACAAAGCGCACATTGTCCAAGGCCAAGGCTTCTGGTGGGACTTTGGAGAAGTTATTGGAGCCTTGTCAGACGTTAGGATTTGAGGTGTGTGCTGTTCAGACAACAGCATGGGCAGGGTCATATGATTCCTGCTATAGAGGAGGATCAGTTCAGTTTGGCAGACCCTCCTCTAACATAAAACACATTGTCCATAGGCTTCAACTTTGGAGAAGTTCATGACTTCAGAAAGTGAGGGAACCTAGGCACTGAGAGTCATTCACACGACCATTAGGCACTGGTCATGATTCAATTCAGTAGAGGAAGATCAGATTTCAGCTCGGTAGACCTTCCCTATTTAGCATAGAACACCTTGTCAAAAGCCTAGGTTGCTGGTGGACTTGTTGGAAATTAATGGGAACCAATAGCAATTGGGAGTTGTGTGCCAGTGTCCAAGACCTTCTTGTGGGACTTTGGAGAAGTCCATGTAGACTTGTCAGAAATTGTTGGGAACCAACAGAAATTGGGAGAGTTATGTGCTGTTCACACAACCATGAGCCTAGGCACTGGGACATACGATTCATGCTACGGAGGAGGATCAGAGTTCAATTCGGCAGATCCTCCCCTTTACCAAGACCTAGGCATCTGTTGGGTCTTTGGTGAAGTTCATGTAGCCTTGTCAGAAATTGATGGGTACCAATAGAAATTGAGAGTTCAATTCAGCAGCCAGTCTTCTTTAACAAAGAGCATGATGTTGAAGGCCTAAACCCCTACTCTGGACCATTCGGTGTGCAGAAGAAAATATTATGGCTCACCTTTGCTGATCTCTGTAGGAGTGTCCTCCTCTTCGAATGTCCCCATTTCAGCCTCCTCCATAGACTGATGATCATCCTCCACATCTGTCTCCTCTGTTTCACTCTCGACTTTTATCTTAATCAGATCTTCACCCTAAATCAACAGAATGGCAGAAAATAACATCTGTAACATAGAAGGATTTGTGATGTGAGATCACATAGAACATCTCATCTTGTAGAGTCCACACATCGTCTCCCCCACGTCAGAGTGTTCCATCACTTTATGTTCCCAACCCTCAACTCCACCTACCTGATGATAGTGAGGGATGGTGTGACCTTCCTGTGTGGAATCCCGGGAATACAGAAGATGGGGACATCTCTCTGGTGGGTTCCCAAGACTGGATCCACCTACCTGATGATGGTGAGGGATGGTGTGACCTTCCTGTGTGGAATCCCGGGAATACAGAGGACGTGGACTTCTCTCAGTTGAATCCTTAATAACACGTCCTTCTGAAAACTCCATCACTCCATACTCCTCTTCCTCCTCTTTAAACTCTTCTTTAATAACAATATTTAAATCCTCGAGGTTTCCATTCTAAATATATAATCAGGTATTTACTATAAGAAACATGCTGGTGTATAAATCCTAGCTATTAGTGATTGTAATCATCTACCTGATCATGGCGAGGGATGGTGTGATCTTCTTGTATGGAATCCCGGGAATACAGAGGACGGGGACGTCTCTCAGTTGGTTTCATCATACCATCCTTGAAGAGATCCTTCTGCCCTCCTGAAGACTCCTTCACCACTCCATACTCCTCATCCTCATCTTTAAACTCTTCTTTAACAATAATATTAAAATCCCCGAGGTTTCCACCCTGGATATGAAGTAAGACATTATGGTAACAAATAAGTTTGCATATAAATTATAACTTCTAGAGATTGTTCCTCATCTACCTGATGATGGTGAGGGATGGTATGACCTTCCTGTGTGGAATCCCAGGAATGCAGAGGACAGGGACATCTCTCTGGTGGGTTCCCATAACTGGATCCACCTACCTGATGATGGTGAAGGATGGTGTGACCTTCCTCTGTGGAATCCCGGGAATACAGAGGACAGGGACATCTCTCTGGTGGGTTCCCATCACTGGATCCATCTACCTGATGATGGTGAGGGATGGTGTGACATTCCTTTGTGGAATCCCGGGAATACAGAGGACGGGGACATCTCTCTGGTGGGTTCCCATTGCTGGATCCATCTACCTGATGATGGTGAGGGATGGTGTGACCTCCCTGTGTGGAATCCCAGGAATACAGAAGACGGGGACATCTCTCTGGTGGGTTCCCATGACTGGATCCACCTACCTGATGATGATGAGGGATGGTGTGACCTTCCTGTGTGGAATCCTGGGAATACAGAGGACGGGGACATCTCTCTGATGGGTTCCCATGACTGGATCCATCTGTAGGAAACACACACACTGACTGAATCCATTGTTTCTATGTGTTTATCAGATGATGGGGGATCTAGGTGGACCCTCTGTACTGCTCTCTCCTTTCCAATAAAGTCTCCTCTTACCCGGTGATGTGAAGGGCGGCTGATTGTCCATCATGACGTCCTTGTAGAGGTCCTTGTGTCCTTCTAAATACTCCCACTCCTCCATGGAGAAATAGACAGTGACACCCTGACACCTTATAGGAACCTGACACACACAATGATACAGTCACCATTCAGACACATCCCTTGTCTGTTACTGGAGAATGTCCCAGAATTCCCGGCACCGCTCACCTCTCAGTGACTTTTGGAAACTTTTTGTTCTCTCAGGCGTCAGGGGGTGAGGTTAAGTTAGTGTGATATTTACCTCTTCACCGGGCTTGAAGGAGGGGAACTGTATGGAAACATCAACAAGAAGATCAAAGAACAATCTAAAAATTCATCTCACCTCTGCCATGGGGTTTTAGTTCGATTAAAGCCCAACATCAGGATTTGTGTACTTTTATATCTTTTTTGCAGCACATTGAGACAAGGGAACAAAGTGGGTTGCACTGCTGCCTGCTGGAGGATTGGACACTTACAAAAACAAAACAAAACTGCAGGCTGGCCATGGGGGCTATAACCCCTCCTATATCCTCCATGCTCAGTTTGAAGCAAGCAGTACCAAGAGCAAAGGACCATAAACTATCCCAAACTTCCCCCACTTTGTCTAATCTATGCCCTCCATCCTACCTGGAACCTCCCCCACCTTGTCTAACCTACGCC